TCCTGCATGGGCACCAGTTGAAGACTTTCTGAGGTGCACTTCTGGGGTCAGGTTTACTCCTTTGTTCTCCAACAGCCTCTGGGCTAATTTGTAAACTTCCATCATTACCGTACCAAGGCTGCAAAATTTAAAGAAACCACAAATCTGCAATATGTTAGCAGATGTCTTTGAAAGTCTGTTTCTGGTCTGACAGGGTATCAGGAAAGATCCATGATGTTGAGCAAAATTGTAACTCAGTTTTGTTAGTATTTCATTTTGGGTAGTGCGGTTGTGATTCCATATATTTAATATTTCCGCCTAAAATTCTAGATGCTTACTATGAAGATACTGCATACAAATAGAGTAGTTTCCATGTTTTTAGAGTAGCATAAAAGTAAAAATAGAATGAAAAGGGCTACGTGAATTTACTGTGTTCCCATGAATGTTTACATTTTGATCTAGCTGTATTTTTTAGTAGAAAATGTTTTCTGAGGGGCTCTGTTTTAGCAGTACTAGTGTAATGGGTAACCAAGTGTGGTAACTGCTGTTTCTCAGGTGAGAGCCTGGAGCGTGTTGCCAGTGAGATGGCTTTAAGTGGTTGGCCTGTACATACTTACAGCAGTAGAGGAGAAGGAACGTGCACTGAGGGCCAAAGAATGCAAGTTATATTCAGACGGTGAGATTTGAGTTGTCTGCTAGCAGCTTAATTTTCAGTATAACATTTGCTTGGTGGTGAAGTTATCACTGTTGTGGTAGCTTTAGAGCCAGGAACAGATACTGAGGCTGTGTTGTTTATTTTGACTAGCGCCTCTAGATCTCCCCAGCTTTGGCCAAGGGGATTCTTCTCTGCAGCAGAGTGATGGGATAGTGGTGGCTGAGTAGGGGGCTATGAGGGAACAACATGTGGTGGAAGATTGCTTAGGCCCCCGCTGAAATGTTAAGTCAAGGCCTGCAGAGGGGGAAGAATATGTTTGGTTCAATCTTCAGAATAGTTGCTGAAAGAGAGGAAAAAAAAGAAAAAAGAATCCTAGAAATCTATGGATTCCTTCCCTTCCAAAACTCAGCAAATATTCATCAATTTTTTAAGGAGTTTAAGATGGACTGCTATGGCAGTTGGGAGGGGTAGAAGGTACCAAAACAGATGGCAGTTCTCTGTGTTTCCAGAATGCAGGAGAACTCATGGCTAAATGCAGCGTGCTTTTCTGTAGTTTTGCTCAACTGCTTTTGGCATCTACTGAGGAAAGCAATACCCTTCTAATCTTTTTAATTTTAATTTTGATTTGTCTTTTCAATCCTGAAATGGAAAATAAGATGCCTTTGCAATCTAAGATTTAAATTAAAATGTGAGGTGATGTCTTGTTGTTGCTGTACCTAGTATCAGTAAAGAAAAGGGAACATGAAGCATCATTTGTTTTACCCTGAATGTTGTAGCCTGATGGTAGTTATCCTTTTCTATCTGTCTGTGTTTTTTAGGCTATGCATAAATAAGTGAGAGTGAGAGGACAATACTGTTGCTGTTTGGACTAAGGAGAATATTTAGAAGTGTGTGCCTCTGTATATTAGCCATTCTTTTTATTACAGAATATTATGGAGAATAAGACAGATATGCAAGGCCAAATATATGATTTCCAAAAAATACCAGTGGCATGTCTGGATAGAGTGGTGATGATGTGACAGTGTTGGGTATGGATTTGGGCTAGGAACCTAATCTGTAAATAAGGCATGCCCTGTACAAGCTGGATAAAAACTTCCCATCTCAAATTCTTAGGTGTTATGATATTAAATATGAATTAAACTTTGGTCCAGTTGCTACTCTTTGCTCCCTGGTAGCTTGGATTGCAGCAAGCGCTTGGTGAACCTTGTCCAGTACACTGGCTGATGGGCATCCATACTGCTTCATACGTCCCCTGTTTAGCAGCATTTTTAGAAAAGCTGGATTATAATAGAACCAGACCAGTGGGCATTGACTGCTCAACTTCTCAGTTTAATTTCTTCCCGTGTGCTTGCAGAGCCTTGTGTATGAAGCTGAACCTTGATGGATCCTAGGAAGTATTTAGGCAGGGCCTTTTACTTCCCAGAGCAACTTTTGCTAGATTTGTCTACATTTAAAAGACACTGCTGAATCTTCTAGGCTTTCCAAGTTGTATTAAAGGTATATATTTTTTCAAAATGTTAGGAAACAAACGTTTTTATAAGTGTTCCTGTTGACATTGATTTACAATATTTGGATTTCAGAATATGACTGTAAAAAAATTGACAGGACTCACTATTTCATCCAGCCCAAATACCAGGAAGCAGTACATATGTGCAAAGGCACACATGCAGTGTGTTGTTTTGTGTATCTGGATGCATAATGCAGGATATTACTTAAAACAAAGAAAAAGACTTATAAAGGTACTCTTTGACTTGACAAATTGGGAGAAAATAGGTCTGCTACCTGAAGATGGACAGCCATCTATACATGTGTTCATTCTGAGCACTGTAAATCTAGGATAATGTGCACTGTGGAGCGATCTATTCAGTGCACGATACTCTGCAGCGAGTATGCTGGGGTGGAAATTGATGCTTCTAGGAACATAGGCCAAGGCAGAGTGAAGTTGCTTGGTGCTGTGTGCAGGATGGTAATTTGGTGCTCTTCATTCCACCAAGGAAGCAGCCAAGGGAGGTCTCAGTTTGCACCCACTGTCACATCTCCCAGTGATTTGGAGCAGCTTTGCACTGGGCCCTAAATAGGGAAAACTCCTTCCAGCTCCAGAGGAAGATGAGCTGACTAATGATTTTAATAACTGTTATAAAGAGCAAAGCATAAGTAACAAAAATGTCACGATAACAAAAGCTTATTCTCCCTCTAGAAGATTTCCAAGCCTGTTCCAGCTCCAAATGGTGGTAGTCATGTTGCTAAGCATCTTTTTTTTCTCTCTCTCTCTTTTTTTTTTTTTTTTTTTTTGCTGAGCCCATGTCCCTTTAATGGTAATATTCTGTTTTTCCGAGAAAGAAGAAAGTTCTTCTGCTGTTGCAGAAGTGATCTCAGGCTTCTCCTTTTATTGTTAAACCTGATTTGCTGATTTATCTTCTTCCTCCCACATTACTCAAGGTTAACGCAAATGGTCTGGGGTGACCATCAACTTCTAGCTGGTGGTGTTGTGTTCCTTTTTGCCACCTCCCACTTTTCTTCTGCAGACAGAATTGACCCCACCAGCTGCTAGGTTTATAAGAGACTTTCTTGTATTTCTTTGCCCCTGGGACTAAAAAAAAACCAGAGAGGACTGAAGCTAGCCTATGAAAGAGCACATGAATGGCTGAGTTACAGGGTGAGCAGCTGTAGGACGTTTAGAGAGGCTAAGGAAGATTAAAAAAAATAAAATAAAATAAAAAAGGGAGGCCTGAGGAGATCTGTTGTCCAATTGCCTCCTGAAAAGAAACAAAAATGTACTGATTATTTCTGTGCTGTTGTTGGGTGTGATTTGCTATTGAGGGAGCTGAGCATTTTTAAAAATCAGGAAATTAAAAAAAAAATAATTTGGGCACAGTCTCAAGGACCCCAAATATCTTTGAAATTAAAAATATTTGTTTGGGTATGTATGTAATTAGAGAGGCTAAGGAAGATTAAAAAAAATAAAATAAAATAAAAAAGGGAGGCCTGAGGAGATCTGTTGTCCAATTGCCTCCTGAAAAAAAACAAAAATGTACTGATTATTTCTGTGCTGTTGTTGGATGTGATTTGCTATTGAGGGAGCTGAGCATTTTTAAAAATCAGGAAATTAAAAAAAAATAATTTGGGCACAGTCTCAAGGACCCCAAATATCTTTGAAATTAAAAATATTTGTTTGGGTATGTATGTAATGTATATATCTAATTAAAAAAATAAGCTTGGATTTAGTTTCCAGTCTCCTTTCCGTATAAAACTTTCTATTTCACAGCAAAGACTTGTACTTTTTCTGGCAATTGGATCCTGCTGTGTTTAATATTACCCCTGCTGTGTGTGTTCAGATCTAGATAAGATGTCTGGCTGAGGTCCTGACCTCTTATGGTCTTTAAAATTCCCAGGACCCGTGTTGAAACGGCGTACTTTTTATTTCCTGTTTGTTAAATACTGTCATTACACAAACAGGAAAAACATCCTGCTTGACCCATGCAGTTTACAGCAACTTACAGCTAAGGCAAGAGGCCAAAGTAGTGTGGTTTGAGTATGGGGGATTAACCATGTTAAATTCAGTGTAGTGTTAGGATCTAAGTCTCCCTTCCACCTATCTGTAAATCGAAGTGAATCTGGCTCGTTTTCAGCCCTTCCCAGGAAAAGGTTGCCTAGTGCACCGTTAGCCAGCTTCCGTGCTCCACCGCCGAGGTCCTTGCTTTTTAATGTAATGGGGCGAGTCGTTTCCTTAGCATGATTCGTGTGTTTGTTGTCTCTCCTCACATTTAATCCCGATCTGTTTTCCCTGCTTTATTGGTTTTGAATATCTCTGTCAGCCAGGGCAGATGCAGTCCCAAAGAGTAAGGAGAGAAAAAAGAACCCTACAAAACACCCAGAGCAAAGCCTGCACTAATACATGTCATTTGTTAGCGCTTTACCTTTGTGTGGCATTGCTAAGGCTTGTATCAAGTGTGTTAGCAGGGTGCAGTTGGCTTTACGGCGTGAATGGACCCCCACTGTTCTTTCTGTCGCCCCAGGGGGACATTTATCACAAGTGAGAGAGCAATTACAGTGCAGTTAAACTCACTGTAGTAAATCTTGGTTTTTAAAAAGAGAGCTAACTTTGTTGTCGTAGGTTTGGGTGCATGTCATTAGTTTTGCCACCCTTGTGCAATCTGCCGTATGGCCTGGTACTGGAGACCCGGTGACGTTGCCTTCTTTAATTATAGATTGTGCTTATTCATAATGTATGACCAATTTTAATAAAAGGATATGCTTTAATATTAATGGCCCTTTGTGTCCTACATATGGGACCCAGTTGAAGGATCTTTGTCTCTCTTTTCCCCTCTGTCCCCCGCTACCCCCTCTGCTGCAGCGAACCTGCGTCCGGGTGCTGAACAGAAAGTGGTGTTCATCACTGCACGAGTCCATCCTGGGGAAACTCCATCCTCCTTCGTGTGCCAAGGTGAGTGCCTCAACCTAATGGTTTTGTAACAAAATGGAAATAGTGAATACAGTGAAATCTGGTTTCCTATGGATCTGCTTGTTGGGTTTGCATAACTTTGTGGGTCTGGCAGAAGGCTGAGTTCACATGACAGCTTTTTCCATAGTGAGGATGTTAGCAGACCTGATCCTCTCTTTGCGGCTGTATATCTTCATGAAGGCAGTAGGAATATATTATCTCTGAGTCTTCTGCATATTTGTTAAATTTGGTCAAAACTGAACAATGGACTCTGAAGTTATTCTGGAAGAACTGACAGTCTAACATACACACAGGCAATGTGATCACATAAGGCTCCTTTCCTTAGGAAAACTGGCTAGAAAAGCTCTGGAAGTGGTGCTTTTGGTACATAGCAAGTAAAATAAGTACTTCAGCATCTTTTCCACTGCAAAGCAGGCAGTGGCCCTAATGCTCCAGTTCCTCCTAGTTCTCCTTCTCTGAAGCTACTGTTCTGAGGAACACAGATCCCAGTGTTTGACAGCTGTTAAAGCAAATGGCCCAGCTCATATTTGTAAAGAGTTGTAAATCTCTGGCTTGTGGGTACAAATAAATAAATAATCCTGCCATGTTTCATATAACTTCATTGTATAGGTCTGAAATATTGTACTTATGGTATGTGACTTTCTGTGGTGGTAAATTGTTGATGGTGTAAATCAACATAACTTCCCTGAAGCCAAGGGAACGTGCTAATTTACTACATTGGCTTGGATCTGGCCCTGCCTACCCAATGAGTTGCATCAATCACAGCTTATGCAGGGCTTATTACATTGGCTGCTTATAAGGCCACAGACTGATTTGTGACTGGCCCCGTTGGTACCTAAAGTCCTCAGTGGGGAAGGGCTGGCAGAGCTTCATGGCCTTCTCTGTGTGTCTCATCCTGGCAAGATCTTGTGCCTGGCATCTCCCTGAAGCAAAAGGTCAACAGCTGTCACTCTGGCCATCAGAGCCCAATGGGTTCACGGGCCTCTTCTTGCAGGCCCATAGAATATGGAAGGTAAAACTCATCCTTAAATAAAACAGCGTCTCAGACTGCGAGCAGGGAAACTCAGCGAGTTTCCCGTCTCCTGTGGTGGCTTAGTCAATGCAGGCATTATAGCACACGTGGTGTTTGTTAATGAATATGGATTTTTAATTGGATGCTTTGATCCTGTTCATGGCTGCTGGCATAGCCCCATGAAATGAGGGTTGAGGCATGCTGCTGAGGTGGTGCTTTGTAAATGATTTTTTTTTTTTAATATAATGGAGAGTTTATTCAAAAGGGGCAGGGGAAAAGGAAATGTGAAAAAGCAAGTGGCACATTTAGCTTAACGAAAGGACTAGATGGAAGTCATGCTCTAATTGTCTCTGAGAAACTGTGTTTTAGAAAGAGAATTAAAACAAAAAGAGAGGGGGAAAAATCAGGGGAAAAAAAGAAAAAGGAGGGGTCAGTCCTGGAGAAGCCCTTCAGAAACTTGCTGTGACTGCAGTTATAACGCATGCTTGACTTGCTTGGAAATGCACGGATCCGAAGGCACTGAACTCCACTGTGCGTTGAGCCATTCTACCCAGCGCAGATGAAGTGGCCTTGTGTGTATAATTAGTGTTAAGACACGTAGAAATGGCACGTGTTTCAAAACCACTGCTGCGTTGTTTCTAGCATTGCCAAAGGTGGGACTGGGTGCTTGCTCCGTGTTTCAAAACTTTTGTGGGGGAGGGTCAAAAGGAGGGATGAAATGGAGCCCTTCGGCAGTAAAATGAGGGCATGGTAAGGAATTTTGAGAGTCTTGGGAAGCATTTTGGCAGTTAGATATTGCAGATTTAATATCCAAATGCAAGCCCAGTGCATAATGGTGTATGTGCATATCAGTGGTGTATGTGTGGTTTGTTTGTTTGTTTGTTTGTTTGGTAGAGCAATTTCTTCTGGATTGTTTGCAGTGGTTATGCTCACTACCTGAAGTATTAAGATATGGAATATGGAAGCTAATCCCAAAGATTCCTCAGGTGCGTGTAGCATCTCATATATGGAAGAGCAGAACTGTCACTGCCTAGGCTGGGAGAACTGGCCAATCAAGGAATCAAATACAATATAACTTATCAACTCTTACAAATAGGGTCAGTTGTCAGATAAAGTGTGCACACTTTCCCAGCAGTGAGGAATTGCAAACTATAGCATGTCTAGATGAACTTACACAAGTAGTTTCCTCATAGATTTTACATATTGTGTTAGTAGGTTGTCGCTGTTTGTCTTTTTTTGTAGCACATTTGCCAGTGTGAGAACTTCCACACCATCTAAATCCAAAAATATAAATTTGTACCCTAAGCATTTTGCTTTAATATAATCCGCCAGGCTGCGAGCCCAGAAAGGAAGACCCAATGCAAGAGGGAGGGACAGGGATCCCAAAGCTACGTTTGCAGATGCTGAGCATCTTGTGCTAAGTACAATTTGACCTGAAGCTGACCTTGAAGCTTATGGGCTGAATAGGGAACAGCTATTAGGAAGAAAATATAAGGAAAACAGACACCTGGGACTCTTATCCATAAGAACTGGAGCAAAAATGACTTTTCAATCAATCTCTTTTCATTACAGCTGTTTAAATGAATGCCCCCTCTTGCTTCACCTTAAATCAAATTATATGAAATGAAAAACCATGCTACAGGGGGCAATGTCTTTTGGTTTTCTGTTAACATTCTTGGTCTGTGTTAACCTAAACCCTCTTGCCAACAGAAGGCAGAAAAAAAATCTAAAAGTTTTGGTAAAAATTTTGATGATAAATTTAAAGAATGAGGTGGAAGTGGCCACACTTTAATGCCTGAAGGCAGGTCTTGAGACAGCTGTCTCATGAGCGCTGTTGTTGTACAGTCGCTCATTGGGCAGGTGGATAGTTGAACTTGCTTGCTCTTCATGTGACTTGAGGTGCTCTCTTTCTTTCTCTAAGTGCTATGAAGGATTTTACTCCTGGAGAGATTCTGAGGTGGCCTCTTAAAAGTAGTGGCAATTCTCTGGCTCACTTCATAGAGATGGTGCCTTCAAATTGTCCTTGTAGGATCCCTAAAGGAATTGGTAAGAGAGTGAAGTTACTACAACCAGATTGGGATTTTTGTTTTGTGCTGGGTTTTTTTTTTTTCCCTCTCTGTGGAAAAGGTGTGTGTAGATGTGAGGGAAGTCATTTTCAAACTTGTTGCTTTTCCTTGGAATTGCAGCCTTTATTTCATTGTGAAATAAAAGGAGGAAGAAACGCTGCCTGAGTTAAAAACTGCTTTCCTGCTTCCTTCACTAAACATAAATATTTGAGCATTAGGGGATGACTGATAGTAACTGAAAGATAGGACAGGGCATGTTTTTAATCGAAAAACAAATGCAGCTAATGATGCCTTTACGTGTGAAAAGGACCTTTCTGAAGTAGCAGAGGTGATGACCTTGCTTAGCTGTTTGCAGGGGATGGATTTCTCCTACAGAAATGAAATAGAGTTCTGCAGGCATTGGTGTAGGATGCTTCTGTAACAAATGCTGTAGTAGGGAAAATGCTGTCTCCTGTTGTCATGATGGGGGACCCACAGAACTTCCCAGGACTCTGCTGGACTTCACATAGGACTGAATTTGTATTTGAATAAATGCATAACTTACATCAGTTGTCACCTTGTTCTAGGTACTTCGTCTGTTGTGTTCTTCCTTCTAACAAGCCAAATCTTCTTTATTGCACAGGTATACTTCCTACTGCAGAAGGAAACAAAACAGGATTCCACACAGTGTGGATTTTATGCATGCAAGTTTGTTATATATACTGTTGTATATACTACTGTTATGTATACTACTGTAATATCTTAGTTCTGTCTTCCCTGCCAAATGGAAGAGACTGGAAGCAAAACCTTATACTCTCCTGGCTACTTTTAGACTGGAAGAAGGGAACGCTTCCATGTATAGCAAGGCTTAGCTTCTGATTTGGATTTGGATGCTGGAGGGTGCTCTGGCTTGGCCTTGCAGCAGGTCTGCATGTGCTCTCTGTTGTAGAAATGCCCTTTTTGGGGGCATTGCCAGTGTGTGTTTGTGGGCCTTAGCTCTTCTAATACTGAAGAGGACTAAGCTAAACCAAAGCTCTACTTTCAGGGAACTTTACACTCCCTTGGCACCCCAAAGGTACAAAAATTCCCCATTTCCATTCCCTTTCAATACTTACTGTACTCTTTGCAAACCTCCCCTTGCAGCTGCAGCCCACTGCAAAATGCATCTGCCCGTGTGCAGTTTGTGTGTTCCACCCTAGAGGTAACTGCTAAATCTTTCTGTGAAAACAAATGGTGTTCTGTATGCACAAGATTAAAATCCTGTGGGGCAGGAGAGGATGGGAACGCTCTCCTGTTCATTTAGCCACAACTTAGCACTCATGAGCAGAGCAGGAACATGGTGAACAGAAGCTGTAGTTTATGGTCTCTTATAGGAGTTCAGGAAATCAAATGATGAGAAGCAGACAAAGACAATGGAATTCAACAGCCCAACCATAAAATGAGCTGCAGGGCTTTCTTAAAGTTGTTAGACTGCATTCATCCTTCTCACTAAGAATTTTTTTTTCTTTAAGTGCACAGCTCCTAAGCTTTAATACAAAGGGAAACACACTCTCCTCAATTTCTAAAGGAGAATGAAAAACACTATTGTCTGTCCCTTGTAAATCTCCTGGATGGGATTTCAGTGTGAAGTATCCCATGAGAGAGAGAGCAGTTGTTCTGAGAATATAAAATGTCCATATTGGAGTAATGGAAATAAAAGCTCCTCTTAAATTTGTGTTGATGTAAATAGACTGTTAGAAGGATTTCTGCTACCCAAAGTGACATGAGCTGTTGCAAGACATCACACATTTTCAGTCATATCACTGTGGTGTCAGGCAGGTATGAGAAGTTACAGAACTGGATTCCTGAGCTTGAGGTAATTTTTAATGAGGTTAAATCTCTCTGGTGATATAGTAATATGTTTCACTCTCTTACCAGATATGCTT